GAGGTGGTTAATTCAATTGATAAAAGTCCCTTTTCTTTTGATGCCCAAAAGTGCTGTGCAACAAAAATGTCTGCAATGATGGCAATGTATCATCATTACATGTGGCTATTGTGGTAGCCATTCATTACATGTGGCTACTGAACAGTTGAAATACAGCCAGTAAGATTTTAATTTTATTTCACTTCAATTCATTTAAATTTCATGTGGCAAGTGGCTACCATATTAGGCATCATAGGAGTAGAATGTTTGCTTGCAATGATGAATGAAGTCCACAAAGAATAAGACCTAAGTATATTTTGTTTACTGAGGTATATTATGTGCCTAGAACACTGCCTAAGACATAGCAGGTGTTCAATAAATATTCACTAAATAAATAAACGACTGGATAAAAGACATGTCCTATTGGTATGTATAGTTTTGCCAACTTTTGGCTTCTGGGTAGCATCATTAGAGGGAGATGTGTGTAGTATCGATTAAACATTCTCTCAGACTCAAACCTGTAACACAGCCCTCACTGGCCTTAGCAGCTATAGTATTTTCCACAGAACTTTAAGTACATAGAGAGTCAAGAGAGACATGTTTAAATTCTGGATTGAGAAATCAAATATTCTGAAATATTCTCAGTCCCTAACCTGAAAGGCATGAAAGCAATTCATTTTAAAATTGCCCAGTCAGACACTCCAATAGAACATTATGTTGGGCAACACCTCAATATTACAGGAAGATGGTAGAAACAATAACATATGACCAAATCCACTGATGGAACCGAGTTTAAGAACTCTTTTTGGAGACGCTAAATAGAACATTTAATGTTTTTCTTAAAGTAAAAAGGTGTATCCCCATAAAAACATATGGCATGTATAACTTTCAGCACCTTAAAAAACTTATATATAATAATCAGTAATACCAGCATTTATTTGCCCCAAAATAGTATTGAGAAGCGACAAAAATGGAAGAGCATTACTAATGATGATTTCTGTTCCAAATACAAAATGGTATTTTAAACAAATACTGATAAGACTGTGTGAAGAACATTACTTTTCATTAGCAATAGCAAATTTTAAATATTTTTGCTTTGCTTGTGAACCAGATGCCATTAGGCAAAAAATACTCCAGAGTTGGCTATTGCATTTAGCCTGCCTTTTGACACATGCCATCTAAATAATAACACAACAAATCATTACACAGAACTGTTTGAAACGTAAATAAAACATCTGAGCACCTTCTTCTACCTCTCAATACTTATGGGGACATCTGACCTTGAGCTGAGAGTCTCTTCTGAAAATGTTGTCCACATGTCTAAAGTTCTCTCCCTCGCACATGTACTCTGCCATCCACCCTCAACCAAACCATCTAAATTACATTCAGATTTTTGTGGTATCATAATAACTTCAATATGGGATATATTTTCAACATTCTGGTAAGAGACTCCTTTCTTCCCCGCCTCACCCTGCTTCAAAGTTATTTCAGGTTTGCATATTTCATTTTCACATCTCAGTGGGATACCCATCACATAACATTTATTTGTGAGGTCTACAGGCATAATGTGGGGGATTGTGAACTAGCATGTCAAAACCACATACTGCATGCGTATGTCTTAAAGAATGAAAAAGGATTCCTTTTTTCTCAAGACGTATAAGCTGTCTTAACAACGTAAGTCCAAAGTGAATACCACAACCTAATTAAAGATGAAGAGCATAGCAAGCAGTATTAAAATGTCTTTCCTGATTCATTTTTCGCCAAGTTATGGTTTTATCAAATGTCTTGTCTCATTAATGACTCCAATAGACATAATGAATACACACACCTTCTAATCTCACCAAATTCTGAAGAGAGTTGAAAGAATTTTCCTCTGCATGTTTTGGGAGGTATGGCAGCAGAGAATGTAGAGATAGGGCAGAGAGGGGCTCTGAGAAAAGACTAATAAAGTCCATTCACCTGCATATAAGGATGAACGTATACATATTCCCAGATAAATGACCTGCCTTTAAAGTTCTTGAGGAGGAAAAACCACAATCTCTCCCGGGTATCAATTCCTGTATTTAGCTTTATTTCTAGGAAGTTCTTCTTTTGAGTCTAATCATGCTTCTGGGTCAGCTTCAGGAGCATTCAAGCTGTGTGATCGCACAGGGCCCTGTGTTCAGCAGGACCCCTCTTCTGCCTGATTTAGTGTTTTCCTGACACCATCTTGAAATTAGCAATAATTTTACCTTTGAAATTATTGAAAGTTTGAAGTTGCGTTTTGTAAGTAAAGTCTGATGGGGCAATGAATCATGTAAATGAGAAGGGAAGATATGCGCAATACGCGTGCTCTCCTTTCCTTTCTGCCCTATTCACATGTAGCCTATGAGCTCAGAACTCCCTCGGTTTCATGATGAATAGGAGTTCAGGGAGACTCAAAGCAAGTACAAGAGAGGCATGGCATGGCTAGATTAATTAAGTTATTTATTTGAACTGTAAATAAAAACATCTGAACACTTTCTTCTCCCTCTCAATACTTTGTGGGAGCTGAGAGTCTCTTCTGAAAACGCCGTTCACATGTCTGAAAGACTGACATCGACAGTCTTGAGAGACTTTCCATTAGAACCAGAACTCATTTTGAATAAAGAATGCAACAGAATTCAAAGCAACACGAATGATAAGGAAGCCCATTATATCCTTTCTTACTTTTGTTACTTCCTCTGAATTTCCCAGCCACTTACATTGAAGATGATAACATAGAAGGAAAGAGAAAGACAGAGTAACACATGATTTTTTCCTTTCTCATCAATAAACTGAAGGTATAGAGTGCTAGAAGACAGGTACATATCAAGAAGTGAAATAAAAAACAGTTAAATCTTGTGCAGCAAATCCATAGATCTTCAAGAACAAAAGACGTGTGCATGTATAAGTTATAAAATCCAAATTGTGTAATTTTGTTGATTCTACATATGAGTTTAATGCTTCATATTTGGATTTCAAAGAGGCGCTGCACATTATAAGGATCAACATCAAAATCCACACTAATGATTTAAATTTTTAATTTTTCTTTACTTAAAACATAAAATAGCATATTAAAAAACCATCATGATAAGTCGAGAGAAAGACACTACACAAAGACCTGTTTTAACAGCACTTTAGCACCTTTTCCCTTACTTTTTGTCTGTGTTTTCACTTTGCATTGGGCACTGCAAGTTATGTAGCTGGCCCTGGCTTGCCTACCTAAGCTAGAGATTACATCCACTACATCTGTACTGCCAGGTCACAATTTGTCAGTTTTCACCCTTTTCTCCATTCATCCGCCCAACAAATGTTGACTGATTGACTGATCTGTCCTCAGGCATTGTACCAGGTACTGATTATATAAAAAGTGTCATTAAGATGGACAAATAACCACGAAAAGGTTATAATATCTATCTTGCATAACTTTAGTAAGGACTATAACTAATATACATAAAGGGTACAAACCACTCCCAATAATGACTGCTAACCTTCAGAACTCTATTCAGTTATCTCATTTAGTTCCCATAAAAACTTATAGGGTAAGTCCTATTATTGTCTGATCTTACAGTTACAGAAGTAGAGATCTTGAACAGTTCAGAAACGACCATAGTGAATTTGTTATTAAGTGGTGGAACCCGGAACTGGAGCCACCACACTTTTTTGATGACTAAATCTGAATTCATGAGTGATAGTTATCATTCTTATTAAGTCCTAACCAATCTTTGCTTTCTAGTATTGCAGTTGTGACCCCATTTCTAGTTTCTCAAAGGTCAGTTTTAATTCCACTTTTATTAATCTCCTTATAATATATAATTTATAACTCTAAAAAGTATATTTCAAATCATTTTCCAATAAATATATTTGTATTTTTTAGGACATTAGCTTCCTTTTTTTAACCTCATAGTCCTTTGACCTAACTTTAGAAACTTTGATTCAGCTGACAAAGCTTGTGATTTTCAAAATTATGTTTGTGACTTTATTCACAAATATAGGAAAACAGACCTGGGTCCAAATCCTGGCTCTGTTGCCCACTAGTTTCAGAAAAGTATGTAATTCTCAAAGGCCAACTTTTCTCATATATTAAACGGGGATAAAAACAGTACCTTAACTACCTCATAGGGCCATGTTTAAGATAAAATAAGATAATTCTTATGATACCCTTAAAATAGCGCCTGGTACCTAATAAGTGCTGGAAAAAAGTTGGTTTTTATACTATTGTTTTTAGTACCATAGTCTCATATCTAGGTTAAAAAATGAGTTTGAAATTATTTTCCCTTAAGATGTTTTCCTTCAGTACAAAAAACTAAGTTCAAGAGTCTCTAATTTCTCAGATGTATATTAGTTCTTTGTAAATAAAAACCCACAAAAAGTACCCCAGAATGGCACCTGGTAGTGATATATACGCCTACAATTCAAGGGATCTGAGATGTTTTTATTCACACAATCCTTCACTGAAAACTCCAAATACCACCCTAATTTTTCCTCTTTTCATTCTAAACTGCCTATTCTAGGGTCAAGGGTAAAAGAGTTTATAAATTACATGTAAATAATTCTATAAACGTACGGAATTATTCCCATCATTTTAAGCGAGGCTATCTCAGTTCGCTTAAACCTTTGAAGTAACACTTAAATTTAAGAAGGTTGAGCAAATTAAAATGGCTGCAGTGTTTTTTCTGACAGAAGAGGAAAGGATTAGCTAATCTGAAGGTTACTGCCATCACTCAGGCCTTCAAACGACTGTTTCCCTGGCTTTTAAGTGACTGAAGAACACATAAAAAATAGACTGTATACCACATAAAAATGGAGTGTATACATATTTTTAAAATAGTTCTAGGAAAAAAAGACCTTCATTAGGGCACTTTTATTATGGTTTAAAGAAAAGGAAAACAGTATTTTTGTAAAAAAACCAACCCTTCATTTGATACCTTAGAAAACATGATAGCCATGTGCTATCTTCCTATAACCAAAACTTTTTCAATAATTCTGGCTGTCCCCACTGCAGGGTTATGGGTCCTTACCAATTCTTGAGTGTCTTCCTGTAGTGGTAGAAATGCCGCCTCCAGAATAGCAATCTGGTCAGCACTAAGCTTCTGCCACAGCCCAATCAGCAGAATCACCAAATGAGTGGCACTTTTCAGCCTGGTGAATGACTGGAACAGATCGCCTTGGTTTTTCTTTACTGCATCTGCTAGAGCAATTACCTGCAGAAATTACAAACTTCAGTTAGGGATAATTTCACAATTCTTCAGCCCTCAACAAATTATGTCTGGCATACTTTTGTTTTTCTTTAAGACAACTTGATGAACTTTGTCTTCCACAAATACAAACTACGTTGAGTAATAAAAGAGTTATCATTCATCTGCTCGCTTCCTTCTTTTAAAAAAATGCTCACAGTTAATTCCAAATCCATATGGCCAGGAGATGAAAATATCCATGAAATCGCTTAATGGGAACATTGTTCAGGGTCTGCTTTGCCATTGACTGACCTTTTTCAATATATGGTAATATAAGTAACCTCTAATAAAGTTATCACAGTCCTCATTACTAGCCATAGAGATTGATCAATTAAAATATTTTAATCAAAATAACTTCAGCTCCCTTGTAGTTCAAAATAATAACTTCATTACACCTTTTCAGAAAACAACTGTCTTCCTCTGATATCAGTCTTTATATGTTATATGATATTGGGATACCCAATATTTCTTTACTATATCTAAAAGGTAATTTCAAATATTTGACCAGTTGAGTAATGTCATTTTTAACATAAATGTCAGACACCAGCCCACAGGGATCTAAAAGAAAAAAAAAAGTTCAGGGTGTGTTAGCTTTATAATGCCAGATCTATTTAAGATAAAATTGGCAGGAGTGAAGAGACTTAGCTTTTTTTTTTTCATCCTTTTGAATAATCCTGTGGAAAAAAGAACTAAAGTAACAATTGGATGGAACATCCAAGACAGTCCATTGGTGTTTTATTTTATTTTAATGTCTTGGTGAATTTTGTGCTCATTAAAAGTAATAAACTGACTGCCCCAGAGGCTCAAGGCAACTGACAGTCCCTAGAACAGGATTAGCAAAAGCCAGGGCAATGAGAGCTCCTTTCTACAAGCCTCCACCAGCTTGTAAGACTAGAGCTCAGATGAATTTCAAAGTCTGATGCAGATCAATTTGGTGATATTTCATGACTTATTGACACAAGCCCAACTGTTAAAAGATCATCATCCAAACTAGTGGAGTACACAGCTATGTGGTTTCCCAAATTCCATGTGGGGAGAAGGGCTGTAGGGAGACAGTTCTCAGAGTGTCCAGGAGATTCTACAAAAAGAGAAGTAGTTTAGAAAAAGATAGAGCAACTGAAGGTCACTGCCTAAAAATGCTAGGCCGACCAGGATTCCTTGCCACTTGGTTGAGGGCTTGCAGGAGTTGTAATAGGCATTCACAATTCACATCTATCTCTACAGGGAACTATGGGAGTTTAAACCAAGACCATCATTACATAAAGTGCATTGCTTACTATGTGCCTAGTACTGTGCTACTTTCCATTAGTGTTCAAAAGAAGTACATGACATCTTATAGCCCACAGGGATCTTATAATTTGTTGGAAAAGAAAAACACACATATACAACCAATTAGTGGGAAGAAGCATTACTACAATAATGTCCTAATTGTGCAGAACAGAAAGTAAGTGTGAAAGAAGTTAGCAAAGGGACGGATTACTATGGGCCAGAGTTAAAATCCCTGGGGCCTCTTTTACTCAAATGGGGCTTGGAACTCATCCTTTCCCCATTACTTCAAAAAGTTCCCTTGAAGAGACGGATAGAGGCCACTTTCCTTAAACCAAAACACCTGGAATCATGTTTCCCCCTACCCTCACCATGATTACAACTGACTCCTGTTAAAGTCTACGTTTATACTCTTTCTTCCTGTGAATGTTACCAATTAAGCCTCATTGTGGGGCCAAGATATTATGACACAGATGCTTATTGTCAAAAAGTCCAAATCATACAAAGATCAAGGTCATAAACACCTACTGAGTGCCAGCTATGTGCAAGAATTTGCGGGAAACACTGTAGGAAATTCAATGGTGACAGATCTGATATCCACCTTCAAACAGTACATAATAAAGAAAGAAAAATAGGTCAGGGAGGCAAATACTGACCATATAAAGAAGAACTTATAGACGATAAAGGATAATTCCATTAACATTATGATTATTACATTAACAACAATTCCACCAATTAATTGAACACAGCATGCTGAGCACTCTGCCCTGGGCTACACAGGTATCAGTGCCTTCGATTCTCACATCTCCACTGTGACTTCGTGGGCATCAATTATCTCTTTTTCACAGATGAGAACTCTAAGGCCCAGCACATATAAGGAATTTGCCCAGCACTGTACACAGGGCTTGCAAACTGTACCCGAGTTTAGAAGAGCCACGTGCTTGGTTTAATGTCCTGCTATCTCTGCCTTGGAATTCTTAATAATTTTTTAAAATATTTTATTTGTTTGTTGTTTTGAGTCAGAGCCTCACTCTGTTGCCCAGGCTGGAGTGCAGTGACATGATCATGATGATCATGACTCACAGCAATCTCCACCTCCTGGGTTCAGGCAGTCCTTCCACCTCAGTCTCCCAAGTAGCTGGGACTACAGGTGTGTGCCACCAAACCTGTCTAGTCTCTGGCCTGGGATTCCCAAAGTGCTGGGATTACAGGTGTAAGCCACTGCACCTGGCCTAATAATTTTATTTTTAATTTAATTTTTATTTTATTTATTTTATTTTATTTTATTTTTGAACTTGTGCTTTTTAAGTAAAGTTGATAAGACAATGGAGCATGCACATGAGTAGAGGAGTTACGTGCAATCACTTATGTGAGTTAAATGTCCTTAAACTTGCATTTAAAACTGGCATTGACAATATAAAAATGGTAAAATTCACACTATTTAAAATGTTGATTTTTCCTTACTTGAAAAGATATTAAATCAAAAAATTTTTTTAAATTCAGAAATTATGAAAGAGAGACCACTGAAAAAAAGGAAATCTTCATATTTTAGTAGCTGTTTTAAAGCACTTTCTTCGTGCCTTCTGAATAAGGGCCCCTCATTTTCATTTTGCACTAGGATCTGCAAATTAAGTAGCCAGAGTGACCACACAGCTAGTAAACAAAATAACAGGATTCAAGTTTGGGATTCTCACTCCAAATCTTACTTGAGACTTTAAGTACTTTGTAGATTCAGAGATGGGTATACTATGACTAGCTGAGTGTGAGAGGCCTTAGGAAGAAAGAAGTGAAAAGGAAAGCAGTGGTATGCTGGAGGTGGTTTGTCAGCTTCTCCCACATCGGGAGAAAGAACCTATTTGCTCAATTTTCAAGAATTTTGTGAGCCAATTATTAGACATGGTCATTATTAAAACTTAAATTATAAACTTAAACTAAATAAATTACATTAAAAACAAAGGTAACAAATATTCAAAATTAATTACTTCCTACCATTACCTAGGCTCCTGAGGTTATTTATGCCTACCGTATCTGTATGTTGGAAGGAAACACTCTACAATGTCTTACCAACTCTGCACTCAGAGACCTCGCAGCATTAGCATGAAATCAGTCATGGTGGAAGTATTTCCAACATGGAAATCAATGAATGTTACAAAGTCAAGCTTCCTACCTTTCCCTTTCCCTAGAAAGCCGGTTGCTAAATATTTACCAGCACACCAGTTAAAAGAGGTATATGAAAAGTGTCCCAAATAATAGATATTGGATAAGAGGGCCTTAACTGTGAAGTAAACAACTTGAACAAAGCATTAAAGCAAAAAGTAGAGGCCACTTGCTAAGGGAAGAGCAAACACTGTAGTTTAGGAACAGTATTTGATAAAAAGATAAGCTGGGCAACTGCTGTAAAGGAACCAGAATGTCAGGGTGAAAACATAGGGCTCATGTGGAGAGTGACAGAGTATTCCGAGTGTGGGCGTTACTTGATGAAGGCTGTACTCTAAGCAGCGATTGGATCATAATAAATATTTGGGGCATTTGCTGGACTTAAGTGAAGCTTTTATGCACGTTCCTTACTATCAAGGGAAAATTCTCACTAAGTGTAACAGCATGTCAGTTCATGGACCCACCCAACTTGCTAAACACAGCTGTGGTGGAAGAATGACTTCTCAGTGAGACAGCAGCCCAAGCCACAGGATCTTTCCTGAGCAAGGCCCAAAATACATCAATCCAGGAGAAGCATCGTCTCTCTAAGTCTCAGTCTCTTTGATTATATTTCTGTGCCATTGTGGAAAGAGCCTGCTATCACCAAATGGCCATAGAAATGGGGGGAAAATGGGATAAAAAATTCCTTATGTAAATTACCCCCGAGGAAAATCTTCCTGAACTACTGGCGGGCATGAAATACTAAACAGATCTCCATGTTCTCAATTTAGTTTTACACGTAACAGCCAAGTTTACTTTGTTCTCCATGAGAGCCAAATGAATTTAGCAGAATTAACATAGTAAAAAGGGCTGGAAAAACTGGACCCATCAAGATTCAGATCTGTGTGACCAAGGCTTAGAAGATCTCCCAGCTCACCTGGAACTCAGAAATGAAGCCAACCAGCTGCTAGGACTTACATTTGAGGGAGAGTGATTTTTCAGGCTCATCACTGGCTGAGCACGATGTGTGTTCCCTAGTGTTCAACAGAACTACAGAAAGGGAGGGGTTTAGGAAACAATAAATGCTAACGATTTCAAGCACAATGTGTTGATGGCCTTTGTTTTGCTTTTTCAAATTGAAGGTTTCCAAATAAAATGGAGATCCCAAAGGACATCTCTGTCCAATTGCCATATCAGTTGATGCCAAAGTAATGAGGCAGAGGCCCAGGGAGCTGCTTGCAGGAAAATGCTCAACTCATAAAGTGAGTGTGAAATTAATCCCAAATACTTCCAGCTGCCAAGATAGGCTCTAAAATTGGTTACAGGAAAGCAGCAGCAGCAACAGCAGAGCAGACATGAATCATACTATGTGAACACGGACATGTCCAATTTCTTCACCTAAACTTACCATTGAATCTGCATCCAAATCTCATGTGTGGCACATGGAACACCACTACACTGCTGTTTAGCTGTCATTTACTGAGGCCTGACTGTGGTTTTGCCCAGATTATCATTTGGTCCTCATGATGACCCTCTGAGATAGGAAATGTTGACCCCTCTGTTCC